TCAGAATGGAATAATCCTCATCTTACAGGGTGACTTGAAAGATTAAATGATTCCCTGCCTCTGGCTTCCAAAATCTGGAACCTGAGAGCTAAGAATGAACAAATAAACATAACTGAGCACCTACTGTGCGCATCCTTCTCCAAGAGTGGAACGACCATCCACCATGTAGCATCCTGGAGCCATGCTTAGCTCCTACACCCTCAGAATGGAATAATTCTCATCTTACAGGGTGACTTGAAGGATTAAATGAGTGTTGTTTTCATAATGCCAGCAAATTCAAAAGCCGTCACTAGGGAGAACTAGATTCCTATCAGCACAAGACTCAGCCTCACAGAATCGAAAGCAGGGGTCAGGACTCACTTGCTCACTTGCTCGCTCGCTCGCTCACTCACTCACTTACTCACTCCTCCTTAGTTTTTCCCAGAGGGAATGGGCAGAGTCATTTGCCAAATGAGGCAAGAGTCATCCTCTGAAACGGCACTCTGCTAGAACGATCTGCGCGATTTCACAACCCATCAACAGTGAGGATAAGACTCAGCCCCCTTTGACAAATGGGGAAATCGAGGCTCAAAGAATAAATACAATCGCCTGGGGTCACAGAGGTAGTCCTGGGGAGAAACCAGGTACTCTAAACTTCCCAGGGCACACTCTCCCCCAAATCTCCAAAGGGGGTGGCAACATACTCTGCACAGATATTTTAAGGAGGCAAATAGCACAGTGATAAGGAGGGGGGCAGTTTGTTTGTTTAGGGGTGAGACTTGGCTCCATCACCTACCAGCTGAGAGATCTTGGACAAAGTCCCTACCCTCCCACATCTGCTTCCTCATGGAGGAACTAGGGAGAGTAATAGTAACCGCCCCTCTGGGTTGTCATGAGGAGGAAAGGGGCCAACCTGTGCAAAGTGCTTAAAATGATGCCTCATCTGAGAAAGTGCTCCATAAATATTAGCCACTACCATCATCATCATCAATTATTACTCTTTTCCATTCTGTTGCTTTCACAAGAACAAATCTTAATGTCCACACAGCCTCTTCTTTGGGGAGGCTGATGTCACATGATCACGGGACAGGGGTCGGGGGCTCACACAGACTCACCCTGGAACTTAGGCAGCTTTTCTTCCGAAGCTGCTTCAGACCAAGCAGGGAAGTGGCCTCCTCCTCCTAGAACCAGGCCTCTGCTCTGGGAATTAGGACCCCCTGCCTGCCTTCGCTTTTAAGATCCATCTCTTACCACTTAGCAGCAGAGCCCCCTTCAGTCTCCCTGCTGACTCTGCCTTCCTGCCACGACTGAAGGGCTGCAGCCTGGGCGGCAAGGAGGGGAGAAGGCAGAGGGAGTAAGCCCCCAGGATGGAAGGGGACCAGGTGGGAACTCCAGGTAGGGATCAGCGGGGCTCGCAGCTTCTAAAGAGGTGGTGTCTGTGGGTCTCTGTGTGGACCAAGCACTGCTCAACAGAGCCTATAGGGCAATTACCCTAATCATGTTCATCTCCCAAACAGCCGTGTGATTTATTAGCACGATGTCTTTTTAAAATGCCGCTCTTAAATATAAATAACACTTAATCATCCAGCTGTCGTTAAATTCATGTTATATTGATTTCTCGGAGTGCCACAAATTTGAGGGCGAATGGGCTGGCGGATGTGCTCACAAAGCCGAGAGGTGGATTAGCAAGCGGTCGGTCGGGAGGAGGAAGGAAGGGGGCGTGGGAAAGAGGGAAGGGGGGTGTCAAGGGAGGGACATGAGACCTGTTCAACTGCCCGAGGTCCTGAACCAGTTTCACATCGAGTAGTACTGGACGCAAATAAGAAAACTAGATCCCCAAAATTAATGGCACATCTGTTGCACAGACAAATCGCAGCCTGAATCACTGGCAGTTTCCTGCGCGGCTGCCGCCCCGCCACCGCCCGTCATAGAGCCTCTCCCACAGGTCTCCGGGGTGGCATTATCTGTGTATTGCCGTCTCTGGGTAAGGATGGGGAGAAGTGGCTAAAAAATACCTCCTAACTGGCTAGGAGGAGAGAGATTGGCTGCAATTTCTTTGCATCAAAGCCTGGAGATAACTAGAAGCTAAGGACGGTTCATCACCCCGCCCCCTTAGCTCTCTCCCGACTTCAGAACTGCTGCCTCCCTAGAAAGCCCCCACTTAATTCCCAGCAGCCCTCATTGTGATTAAAAGGATCAGGGGGCCAAGTGTAGGCAGAATCTGCCATGCTGACTTCCCTGTCTGCAGGGAGCAGCGGCAGCAGGCAATGGAGAGGTGCAGAGAAGGAGAAAGGAAACGAGTTGGCGGCCTCGGATTCCTCCGGAAATGTTTGCCGAGTGTCGGTGGGCATCCAGGATGAAGTCCTGGGAGGACAGAGGCCAGCCCGAGAGTGAGTACCGGATTGGGCAAGACAGAACAGTTCGTGGGCAACCTACGCCTCACGCTCACAGCAGAGCCGCCTAGAGCACAGCCCAGCAGCAGCAAGGGTTTGCGAAAGGAAGCATTTTTCACGGTTGGGGTTTTTCTAGTGCAACTCCTTTCCGAGTGAGAAGACCCCAGGGAACTTAAAAGGAAGACCACAGAGGAGTGGTTAGAGAGGGAGAGCGGCAACGTGACATGCTCCAGGGCTGGGCTAGAGAGCCAGGAACAAATTAGATGATGCACCCCCAGTTTTGCACAGATGTTAATTAATGCCTGCTTTGTCCTAGAATCCAAACTGGTACCAAACACTAAGTACAGAAAGTGTGAGGAATTTTGGAACCCGTGTTTAAAAATCTTTAGCTTATACCCAGCATAAAGACTGCTGGTTTTGCATTAAAATGACAGATCCTGAGGCTGCAAATATATGAGAAAGGAAAACGGGTAGAGAAGGTAGAAGAAAAGGGTAGAGTCTCTGCAGAAGGTGCACGGACATTTCAGGGAGCTCCACACCGCATCTTTTCGCCCCTTCCAGCTCCCGTGAGGGAATGTTTACCTGGGAGCCACTCACTGTGGCGGGCGTTCACTGTTTCTGTTGAAAGCCATGTGCTGCTCTAGCGTACGTGGGACCTCCCTGTCCACGCTCTCAAGGGGCATGTGTGTGGAAATGTCCCAGCTCTTCCACAGCCCGGAAGACAGAGGTGGGTCCCATTGCCACACACGGTTAGACGAGCTGACCACGTATGTATAGCTAGGCACTTTGAGAACACATATCTCGGTGTGTGTACACAGCCCCACCATTCTTAAAAAGATAATGATGTTTCTTCCCCCTACTGGGTTCTCCCCATTGTGACAGCTTTGCTTTATTCCTTCTACCCTTTTCAATCAATCAAAGGGCAGAGCACACAGCACACAACCAGAATATAATCTCCCTAGCGGGGCGTCTGCTCCTCTCCTCCCCAGCCTCGGTGAAGAGCTTCACAGGAGCTGAAGTTTGAAAAGAGCAAAGATAGGGGTGCAGAGAGAGCCCTTAATTTCAGCACCCATCTTTAGGATTTACAGAACCAACCAAATCCTGTGACCAGCACTGAGGCCCTGTTGTTCGAAAGAATGTTGACTCCTTCCCCCTAATGCTCTGGAAGACTCCCAACATATTTTTCCCATTGTTGGGTTTGTAGGACACTCTGAATACACGATCTTGCATAAAGGGTACAATCCTTCCAGGTTGACCAACAAGGGGCAGCTATAGAAACGTGGGACCTTGCTATATTTATATTCGACTCCGAAATAATGTTTCATTATTTGGGTCTCACGTTCTTCTTCCTACAACAACTGGGCCCTGAATAAATTGCTCTTTGATCCCCAAATGGGAACTGTGGAGAAGCCCTTTTGGAGCCCCAACTACCTCCTCCCTCCTACAGAAAAAGTTTGAAAATAAGCAGCCTGTGAAACTCCAGCCAGGGAGAAAAGGTAAGAAGGGGAAAGCTTCCAGGAAATAGGACCTCGAACCACAGTCTTCTGGAGAGTGATTCTACACTCCCAGGAGCAGCCTGGTTCTGCGGACGCTGGCAGATCCAGGCATGCCTTGCCTCCTTGTAGGGTGGGCGCTGCTGAGGTGCTCATGAGAGAGGGGATGCCTTTCCCTTCCTGCACTACACCCTCGTGGATCACCCCTTCTAGTTCTTTTTCTCAGACACATACCCTGGAAAGGCATGTGACAGGTGTTAGCGGGAGGCATAGGTGATGCTTTCCAGCACAGTGCAGAGGACCGATAGGGAGGTGGAAGGGAGACCCGAGACGAGACCTGTGTCTATAAGCCCTGTCGCCTTGCTGTCGCCCAGAGACTGGCGATGTGAGGAGGTCACACCTTCTATGGAGGATCTGACCCCCATACCCTCCCTTGACAAGCAACACACCCACCTGAAGCGATACTTAAACCCCTGCGTGCCTGAAATCCCGGCACACTCGCGGGGAAGCAGTGCCACGCTTCAGAAAAGCGATTGTGCTGCCTCTTACTGGGGAAACGCAGTGTCTGTTCCTTATGCACCGCCCTACAGAACTGCAGCCCCATCCGCCTATGTGGCCTCCTCCCCGCGCGCCGGGCCACCACGCTCTCCAAATATCTGTCTGAATATCTGTCGATGGGGCTGCCATTAAAATCTCATGGTATCCAAAGGCCACGGAACAGAGATTAGACTGGGCGGGTCTCCCAAGACCTCCCATTACTTCTCTAGTTTTAAAAAGCAGCTAGGGATGCAAGAGGCTGGGACCTGAAAAAAAATCACTCCCTCAACCTAGCCGGGTGGCAGAGAGAAGCAGTCAGACACAGAAACCCCCTCCCCGCCTCTGAAAGTCCCAGGTAAGGAAGTCTGAGACCAGGAGCGTCAGAAAAAGAAGGCAGGAAATACCTGCCCTGGCCGCGCAGCACCTACGCAGTGTCCAGGTGCGACGTGGGCAGGTGCCTGTGTGCGGTGTGTGCCTGTGTGTATTTGTGCGTGTGCGTGCGTGCAGCGGGCTGGCTCCAGGGCAGCCGAGGACTCCCGGACCAAGCCGGGTATCCCCGACCGCGCCGCCCCCGCCGCCTGCCCGGCCGGCTCCTTACCTGCAAGCGCCGCTTTTGCCTCGTTCAGCGGGAGCGCCGCATTGACACTGCAGATGGTGCGGGTGCCGCTGCCTCTCGTCCTCTTCTGAACGTGTGCGTGTGCGCGCGTGTGGCTGCCTCCTCCAGCTCCAGCCCCAGCCCCGAACGCAAACACTCCACCGAGGCACAGGGAACCCGGGAGGGAGCAAGGAGAACGGAGGGCGAAAGCAGAGCCTGCGGGGCTTGACAGCTCCTCTTGCAGCGTCCAAGGTGGGCGGAATGTCCAACAAAAAGGTCGGAAAATGGGAACCGGTTCCAAGCCCCGCTTTCCTCCACCCAGCCCCGGAGCCCGAGCAGCGGCGGCGGCTCTCGGGGGGCTGCGGTGGCGACGCGGGCTGCCCCCCTTCGTCCCCACCCCCGCGGGCTCAGTGTCCTTGATGCCAAGCGGGCACGGCGGCGTCACTCCGCGCCGCCCATGCTCGCCGGGTCTGGCCGCTGCCCGGGCGCAGCAAGTGCGCG